GAGGCTTAGATCGCAATGAGCTTATTAGAGGTCTGATATTTGTTCCATACACTATATCTGATCTGAATCACTATCACTAACATGTTTCAAACCGAGGTTTGATGTTCGCAACCTTCAACCTTTAGTACATTGACACTATGACTCATTTTAATCTGATAGGTAAGATAAATTAGCACAATTATTCATTCTACAGCCCTGCCTGCCTCGATAATTTCAAAATTCAAAATTCCAATTCCAATTCGACCAGGAATCAGGTAGACGAAGAACCACTTGGTGGATGTGCTACCTGTTAATCGTTATTATTATTTTTATTTATTTTTGTCTCTCTTTCTTTATTTAATTGCGAGTCTTCCATTTTGGTCTTCAAGGAGCCGAGAAATTCCAGGTTGTGGAAAGAAATGGAGACGACGGGTGTCCTTGACATGGAGCTGGTTGATCAAGTGTTCTCCAAGTGTTGCCAGCAGCAAGGCCTGATCAAGGAGGATCTCCTGAACATGATGGAGCAGTTCGGATTGATCGTCAAATTTGCCACATCGCCAACAGATGAAATGTATTTTGTACCCTGTCAACTGAAGACGCCACCTGACGCCCTTTGTGAAATGGAGCCATCACCGTCAGATCCATGTCCATTGTACCTGCATTTTCTGGGGGGTTTTGTTCCTCACGGCTTCTTCTGGCAGCTTGTGTCACGATTCACCAGATGGTGCTCTAGAAATGGATTCGGGCAGCCACCGAGATTTTTCCATGCGGCAGCGCTTTTCTTCATTAAGAGTAAGTTCACTTATCACCTGGCTCTTCTGTGCAAGAAAAGATTCATCAAGATCGCCTTGAAACCAACACAGTCCGTCCGTGGACCATCATTTCCCGAAGCAAACGAAGTAGCAATTCTTGTGCGAACGTTTCTGGAGGGGACAATGCAAAACCTTAGACGTGAGCTCCCTTGGTTGAGCAACCTGACGTGGGACCTTCGTGTGGCATGTCCTGGCTGTCAGCAAGTGGAAGACACTTGTTCTAGGCACGTTGACGACTCCTGTGATGACGAGAATTGTCTGTGTCTTCTTAGAATTCTTGAAGGAGGACAACTCAGCCACTGTCCAAAGAGATTTTGTGCTGAAGTACCAACGGTCACTGGAGTGGAGAAGTGGTTTGCAGTCAAAGGTGAGATCACGTGATGTCAAATGAGCGAGAAGGGGACTCGCGCGTCCCCCCTCGCAAGCCCCGTTCTCTCTTGCGCCCATTTTACTTACAAGCGCCTGCTACGCGGACTACAGTTGAAAAATAGGGCCAATCAGTCTCTAGTTCAGTAATGGAATCAAGAGTGGCAAAACTGTTCTCTATATTAGTCGCTTATAAAACGTTAAGATATAAAACAACCTGGTGTACTCAATATTCATTTTTTATTTTCATTATATCAACTTAAAAGTCTGTTGTACTAGATAGCCTGTGTACAGCTACCCCTTAACCTCAAGAAAAAATCGGCTTAACTAGACTTTTGTGTCGTTTTTTTTGCGCAGCATTGCGTCCAGGCTATCATCCTGGTACGGACGATGTTTACAACATGACAGGTCGCCCAAGAGGAATAACGCTGATCATTAATAACGCGTCTTTCACCCTTCATCCTAAACATGGACAACAGTCACCTCGTCACGGGTCCGAAGAAGATGTTCGTCAAGTTGAAGAGCTATTTATTGCCCTCGGTTTTGAGATACAAAGGAGACAGAACCTTTCAAGACTACAGCTCTTAGACGAACTTGATGATGTTGCCTGCCAGGATCACAGTGCTTATGATTGTTTTGTGTTGTGGCTCATGAGCCATGGCAGGAGTGGTGAGGTGTTCTGTTCTGACGGTAACACAATACCTATTCAGACTCTTCATGATATGTTCAGCAATAGCGATACGCTAAGCGGTAAGCCAAAGCTGTTTTTCATCCAGGCGTGCAGAGGTGACGGAGAAGACGAGGGGGTGACTGTTTCCGCTGATACCGGTATTTCATCTTACGAACAGCTTAGTCCCAACCAAGTTGATTCACCCATTGATGCCGTGAAGAAACCTGCACCCAGAGTCCCCACACATGCAGATTTTCTGTACGCATTTTCTACAGTCGATGAGCATGTATCGTACAGACATGAGGCTCTAGGAAGCTATTATGTTCGCGGCCTAGTTGAGGCATTCCGTGAACGAGCGGTTTATGACCACCTTCTCGATATTTTAACAGTAGTCAACCAGAAAGTCAGTAACATGGAAGCTAACATGCCATCGGTGAAGAACAAGAATGAAATCAAAATCTTTAAGCAAATGCCTGAAGTTAAACATACCCTGCGGAAAAAAGTTTGTTTTTAGGTCATTGATCATTATTCAGTGTTTAAGGCCAGAATATTTTCGGCTTTTTAACTTCAGCCAGTTCAGTCGTAAAGCGTGCAACCCGGAAGAAGGCTTGGAGAACAGCAGTCGTCAGTGCGTAATTTTTTCGCGGCAATTTAAATTGTTTTAAACCTAAGATTAACACTATGCGCTTTAAAAACTTTTTCATTAATCGTTTAGTTTTTAAATATGAATTAGCTATGTAATATACTAGATATATATACCGGTATATATTTTTTAATTCTTACTTTTTAACTTTTTAAAATTTCTTACACTTACTTGTAACAAAAGATATGAATTTTTATCTCTTGATGAATAAAGACTTTATTATTATAGTGGTATATATAGTGGTGTCAGTTTATCGATTAGTTTAAATTTGAAACTCGCCCCAGTTCCCTTCGCACCTCCAAAATGGCAATGTTGTGGTTCAATTTTATCCTTGGTTTAAATTTCAATTTCTTTTGTTTCAAACTCATTATCATATATTACCATTCCCCAAAACAAAAGGAAATAAAATTTAAACCAAGGATAAAATTGAACCACAAGATATGGTATAAGATCAAGTCTTCTTTGATGGCGAATGCTAGTTGCTTTGTTATAAACAAAACATAACTTCAGAGAAACGAAACATAACTTCTGAGACGCCTGTAATAACGTAATTGATTTATTTTAAACATCAACCGTAATATAGCGATAACACCGACTTCTATCACACAGGCAAAGGAAATATTGATGTATCAACAAGGGTGGAAGAAAACAATGTAATATTTCATTTTCAAGAAAAACATTCCTAAATTAAATAATAAAAAAACGCAATACTAAAACAGTTTTTTTTTCTGTTTTCCAGTGCATGTGATTCTTACTTGATGGAAACCATGCTACAGAATAAACATTAACCATAAAAACCCAGTAATTGAGGATATCTAACAATGCAAATACTTCTATGGCTAATCGTAGCTCATGTAATGACTGTTTCGGTGGGGCTTAATGTGACAGGTTTAAACGAAAGCTACTATAGTGCTTTTCTGTAGTACTATACTGTTTATTATAATGTACAAGCTTAGTTCAACGATTCGACTTTCTGGGTATGTGCATGAAATCCTACAGTTTGACCATTTATCGGTGCATGCGATTATAAAGCGCGATTTCAAAGACACTGCTTAATTTTTCACGATTTGATAAAAATATAATTTCTCATTTAACTGCCTTCCTATTCAAAAGCAACAATCCCTTCCAAGTAGTTGCGCTCGCACAAAGGCGCAGTTCAACAAAACAGAAACGCAACCAGTTTAAATGGTTAACTCAACTACACTAAACAGTTTGTCCTCCAATGAAAAATAGGAACCTTAAGAAACCATGAAGGCGACGGGAACGAGGACGTCAAAAACAATAAGTTTGATACGCAATACAACAAGTCTGAAGTGCACAGTGCTTTTCTTTCAATTTCTGTCCCGACCTTACATAACTTCGACGTGAAATGAATAAACTTTAAGTTCCTTTGAAAACGTGAACAGCAAGGTGATAAATTGTAGTGTACCTTTCTGAGCTCGGACGCGTTTCTTTCTTTTCCGCCCAAGTTTAATTTCTCAACTACCGTAAACTACCGCTTATAAGCCCCCACAGCAATAGACCCCATCGGCCTAAGCCCTGTGGACACCTTATGAAGTTTACAGAACGTAGTATTCTTTATTGCTTCTACACTACACTTGGATGAAATTCCTAAGCTTCTCGACATTTCTGCTCAGGAAATGTTCATGAAGGTGTAGGTCTCTTCAATTTGTAAGGGAAAAAAGTAGAGCGTGAGTAAGGATCGAACCCGGAACGTAGTGTCTGCAATCCATCACCTATACCACTACGCCACTGAGGATTTGCAGGCGAGCATTGGTTTGATTTGAAGCTATATAGCAATAATCTTAACCTAAATAGAAGCTAACCGTTTGGAGTCAGTGCTTAACCCTAATCACTATCATCAGTGCTTGACCCTAATCAGTATTGTCGCTTAACCCTTATCACTTTAGTCAGTGCTTGAAACCGAAGCGATAAGAAATATTAGGTTGTGTAAACTTCTTAAGGTGTCCAAGAGGGTTGAGGCAGACTAATGCTCATCTACCTGTAAACGACAAAAAATACATCCGGTTGTAAGCCCCCTTCTAGCCTGTGCTGAAATGAATTCGATTTATAACGACGTTTTGAGGCTCGAGTAAAAGCGAGTAAATGTAAAAAGCACTTTGATCAACATTACTATGTAGATTGTTTTGAAACGCTTTTTTCAGTCGGGTTATTAGCTCCCCCCCACCCCCCGTTTATAAGCCCTCCTAAAACCCCTCACGAAGTTGTATAAGCCCAGGCCTTATAAACGGAAGTTTACGGTATTAAGAGACTGAAAGACCTGAAGTAATCGAGAAAAAGGCTGACCGACGGCGAGTCAGTTCTTCAGTGACGTTTTCACTCGCGTCGCCGTTGTCACATTAGGGACTTTACGATCCGACGACGCGACGGCAACGAGAACGTCAAAAACATCAATAGGTTTAGTAGGCAAAACAACAACTTTGCACGTGCATCTCACTTTTCTGTACATTTCTTTGCCGTTTTTGCACGACTACGACGTGATATTGCCTAATTTTACTTTTTCGGGAGGACGTAAACAAGCGACGACGAAACTTTACTCTCTTTCTAAAACTGAACATTGTTCTTAGAAATTCAACTCCGGGAGGGTTCGCCTACATTTGAAAAAGTGAGTTGGAATAATCGCGACAAAGACCGAAAGAACGCACATTCATTTTTGAAGCGACGTTTTCGCTGCCGTCGCGTCGGCGGATCGTTATGTCCCTATTGCAAGGTCCCTAACGTCACCCTGTAACAACCTGACTACTTTTACAACACAACGTAGGTACAAAAGTTGTTCTCGTGGACAATCCGCGACTGATATAATCTCCATTCGTTTCCTAAGGGTACAGTTTAAACCTTCAACTCTCACAGTCAGTTAAAGTGACATGAAAGGAAAATCTCACGTTTAAGTCAATGAGTGAAGTCCGATGAAAGCAACTGTGCGGTACTTTTCTGTGGCACCTCTTGTTTGCTGGCGCGGTGATTGAGTCTGTGGATGAAATCATGAAGTGTGACCACTCAAATGAAAGCAACTTAGCCGTACCTCACTGTGGTACTATTTGCTAAGCTGTACAAGGCTGCCTATTCAATTGAACCCCAACAAAAGTACTTTCCATTAGTTACGTCGGTACTCTCAAAACATTGGCATTGAAAAGGCTAAGTAACTTTTTAGTACAAGACTTTCCTCTATCCTCTGTTGTTATTCGGGTCTATTTTAGCATCCGTTTCTGCTTTCACTGCACTTGGAGGATGTTTTGGTGGTCTGTTTTTCTCGCCGTATGGCCTCCTCATTCTGTTATTAATTCTTTTCCTCGAGTTTCTCTTGTCATAGACCGGTGTTGACTCTGTGCCAAGAGTTCTTTCTTTTGTATGCCTTTGTGATTTGCCTTCTAACAGCCTACAAGCAAGACGTTTATCCATTCTCAAAGACTCCGTCCTTTGGCCTCGGCTACACGAGGACTGGCTATTGTCATCAGCGGTAGCACGGGAATTACCATACGTCGATTCATGTTCAGTGGGTTCATTTGAGAACCTTACAGTTTTGGGACTGCGAGTTGTTTTAGTCTTTTTACCGTACGTTACAGCGGATTCACTTCTATTTTGATCAAGTGTTTTTAATGGTAATGACTCTCTAACTGAAGCTGGATCAGAAACGGACGTGATATCACCTGAACCTCCACCAGCATTTTGGCCAGAAACTGGTTGGGAAATTGCAGGTTTGTTCCTCCTACTAAGGTTTCCTTTGATCCGCTGGGGCTTTGGAGATGGACATTTGGGTTTTACTGATTCACTACTTGGCCTATAATCACCGTTGTTTTGTGATTGATCTTGCAAAGTTCTTTGACACGCGGTCTCTTCTTCCAAGCCGCTTCCCACTTTCTGTACAAAAATGGTGTCGCTTACAAAATCTACACCACCAGTGTCCACGCAGCTCCCATCAGGTGAAAGCCGTTTTTCCATAGCCACTATACTCTCATCTCGGGACAAGATAGTGATCTGCTTATGGACAGAGTCCACTTTATCTTGAGGCAGAGACTGGCTCGAATACTCCTTTGATTGTTTTGAATAACCCGAGTCTTTAGTATCGTCCACGTATTTATCATTATCGTTAGCCATCTCCTTGACACCTGAGTTCAAGACCTGAGCAACATTACAGCCTTCGTTTGCCACTAACAGTGAGTTCTCAAACTCAGGTTCCAATTGTCCAGAAAACGATTCTTCACGCAGGGCGGAGTAGTCGCACAATGGACGAAAGGAATCGCTCGCAGGTAAAGTGATTATTTCGAATGGACTACCGCTGGAGGTAGACAACGATAACTCAGAACCAGATTCGTCTTTCTCCTCACCCATTGTTGGGCTTGCAAACTCAGGCGTTGGGGACGCTTGGGCCAGAATATGTTGAGGTTTCGTACTTTCAGCGTCAAACAGCAAACTTGCCGATTCTTGAGCTTGCTGGCTGGGATTGCCGTAGAGTGGCACAGGAGGGTACGTATAACCAGAGGGTCCTTGCAAAACCTGGTAAACCTGTGGTCGAAACTGCGATGGCTGCACAGCGGCTGAAGGAAATCCAGTAACCTGCTGGACTGCACCAGGCATCATCACTTGATTTCTGTACTGATGGTATGGCGGCAGGAATATCTGAGACTGGGGCTGCAAAACGTGGGGTGAAACCATGGGTCGAATCTGATTGGGGTAACCAAATGATGAGAAATAAGGCTTGAAAAGAGGAAGGGCCTGTTGTGTTTGATAAAATGTTCCATACGGGTTAGCATAAGGTGGAAAAGATCCATGTGGATAATTCACACCTGTAGCATAAGGCATCGGATGTACTCCTTCATTCATGCTCTCGACCCACGCTGTTTGATGAGCATACTGTTGCACTGTGTCGGGTGTAAACCCTCGCTCTGCACCGAGTGGAGGTTGACGTGAAAATGTATCCACTGAAGACTCGTCACTTGTACTACTGGTATCTGATGAAAGTTCAGCCTCTAGATCACGCCGATTTTCGTCCACTTCATCTGTATTCATGTCCTGACAAGCAAATCCTTCACTCATCACAAATCGTCCAGACGATACCTGGTCTAAGGAATCGTCCGACAGAGAAGCAAGTGGCGTTTGTTCCAGCTCTTTGTACGGACCACTTTTGAAGCCATTCTCCCCAGTCACCGACTCCGGGTGATTTGCCTCAATCTCCACTTGGAGTGCTTGAACTTGGACAGTAGCAACGGTCACACTGAGATCATTCCTTTCAACTTGGTTTCTGGTTTCCTCTATGGCAAACACGGCCTCGTTACCATTTGAAGTGGTCTTATCAGTAATGACGCTTTTGTCGTCGCCGCATACCCCGGCCTCTTCACTGGAGCCTTTAGAACAATTCCTTTCGCTTGATGCTATTGCTTTAAATTCAGGTTCCATCTGGCTATGATTACCGTCACAGCCTGAAGCCAGTACAAGAGTCTCCTCACACTTGGAACTCTGATCTTGCTCCTTATCAACCACTTCAGTATGCTGGGGAATACTGTCAAGATGGGCTGAGTCTTCATGGCGAGTTGAGAGAGTTCCGCGAGGTGATGGTGGAGAAGTTGAATTAGATTCACACAGAATCGTAGTTTCCATTTGTACAGGTTTCACAGCAACAGCTGACGATCCTGAGCATACGGAGGATGCATCCCCGCTTCTAACATTGTCAGCAACACTAGTTTCTTCGAGCTCGCCTTGCCTATCCGAATTAGTGTCACGTAATTCATTTGTGAGAGAATCACAAACTTCATTGTCGTCAACCGGAACAAGAATAGCGATGTCGCCTACAAAAATACGGGTGAAATTTTGTCCGTCCCTTTTTTCGGAGCCATCATTGTCAAGGCTGGAGACGACTGTCGGATGTGACTCTTCATCCAACTTCACAGTTGAATCTTGATCTGAGGATGGACTCAGATCACAAGATGGGCCTTGGGATTTCTGTTTGATCTCGGCTACTGCTTCATAATCATTTGAAGAAATGTCACTAACAATTGGTTTAGTCTTCTTATCACCTGGTGTTTCCTGAGGTCTACCTTTTGATTTTGTTTTCTTCCCCTTCATTAACTCCTTTGTGCTTTCCTGGGACAAGTCTACTGTCTCTCGCTTAGCCCTGGGGTCCCTTTTGTTACTTTTTACAGGTTTGTTTAATGTGCCACGCCTCTTTTCCCTCGACTCCGTACTTGACTTTGGAGTAGATGACCTTGTTCTAACTTCAGCTTCTGCGACATTACTTTGAGGCTTCTTGCCAATGCTATCAGATTTTCGACACTCACTTGCTTCAGAAGGAGAATGCGTAACCTTGGAACCAGTATTTGCAGATGGCTTTTGCCGCCTTTCTTTCGGACTCAGTTCCTTCGTCGTTTTTGCAACTGAAGTGGATGAAAAATCTTCATCCATAAGGCTCAGAGGAGTGGAGGTAGTACATTTCAGAGTAAAGTTCTGACGCTTTGCAGTAGCTGCTTCTCTTTCCCAGTCTTCGCCACCCCCCGCATCCTGGTCACACGATTTAGATTCAGGCCGACTTTCTTCAGTAGCCAACTTTACTTGCTGTACACATTCCGAGTTCTTTTGCTGCACGGAATGATCTCCACTACTTTGATCTCCTGTCGACTCGTCTGCAGTAGTTTTCTCTTCATGCAGCTTTGAATATGGTTTAGCTCCCTGGTTGTGAAATCCTTTCCCGCTAAAGTGCAAGGCCATGACTTTAGCCACTTTGCGTTCAATTCCATAACTTTTCATAGTTTCAAAAAAATCTAAGAAGGAGCAGCACTCTTCAAAGATTGTTCTCAGAGAGTTATATGTAACCCCCTCTTTCAGCAACTTCTTGATCGCCATGTTCTTGCTACATGCATCCAGCTTACAAAAATTATCTAAGGCAGAACAAAAGGGACAAGAAGATTAACAAGCGAAGTTATGAATATATGAAAATCATATATGTGAACTGCCGGGTGAAGAATTACATGAAAGTAGATCATCGCAGTTATAGAAGCAACTTTTGCAGTTGCGAAAATAAAGCCTGAAAAAAAATTCAGGCTTGTACAGGATTCGAACCCTTGACCTCTGTGATACACAAACTGCGATACACCGGTGCGCTGCACCGGTATAGCAGAGGTCAAGGGTTCGAATCCCGTACAAGCCTTTCTTTTCGCAAATGCAAAAGGTTGCGTCTATAACTGCGATGATCTACTTCCATATAAAGATTAAAAAGTGTTAAAAAATTACGAATAAAATTAAAAATTCAATTGAAACTTATACGGTATTTTTACAACTGATAACATAAGGCAGCCCCACGAAGATCTGAGAACGAATGGTGTAATTGGCTAGCGAAATAGTAAATAAATGACTCAGACAATGCCCCTACCCCTGGGAGCAGTACCCACAAAGCAATTTGTTGTTGTGACGTGTCGCCTGAACTGCAAAGAGTGCTCTGGTGCCGCGACGTGTTGGTGCAACTTGTGAATCAGTGTGTTCCGACCGTTATGACAACAATTCATGCACAAATATTTAAACACCTGATCTGCATGATCACTTACCTTCTAAAATTGCTTGCTGCTGTTTCAAGCCACTCTGCGAAATGTAATACTCTAATCTACAATTGAAAAAAAAAGGGAAATCATGTACCTTAGTACATAGTGACATTTGATTTTCAAACAAACACAACAAGAAATCAATAATTTGTCTTTATACAAAAGTCGACATGAAAAATAGCACAGTGGCACCAGAATTTTCAATAGATTGTAACAAAATGGAGATTTTCCACCAAAGAAAACCTCCTTGTCTTGGTTTCTGTTACTTGTCAATAGTTTGACTCCTTGAAGTGCTTGACATTTATCCAACCTCCCCATGAGCAGTCACCTGCAGCTGTAAGACTTGTCATGACGAGGATATGTACTCATACACACGGATGTACAGAAGATTATCTAAACTTCAAGATCAAAATAAAACCCTTGATGATCAGCTATTGGGTGGGCTCAGCCTCTCGTCTAGGTTTCAGAATTTCGGTCATGGATAGCTCACTTGCTGAAGAATTTGAATCTAAAATATTTGAAGAAAAAACATTTAAAAGGTCTTATCTAAATGGCACAGACCTGTCTTTTGTTGATGAGTACTTCATATTATGTAGCAGTTTCTTTAATGGTGTGCGAGTAAAAATATCCACCATTGCATCCACATCACCCATAGCTCTATGTCTGTCTACAATAGCAAAATAGAATGGTGACAAAAGTTAAGATTAGGCTATTACCCACTTCCTAACAATATAATTGCGGGTGGCAAGAGATGCCCGCAATCCTAATCTCCAGGTTGTTATTATGCATGCGTCACATGTATGTAGCCAGCATTTGTATAGACTTCCAATAAGAATGAATGGAATGCAAAGAATGCAATTTGATCACGCACGCTTGGACCTTCTATCACTAGTAATCTGATCATGCGTGTTTTGACTATCCATCAGGTGAAACTTACAGAAAACACACGGCGTTGGAGCAAAAGCAAATTGACTTTGATCATTGTCGCCTGCACTCTGTAACCTTTGGTTATTACTAGTATAGAATAATATTATTGCTAGTGGTTGCATCACAATGATAGAGTCTCAACTTTCTTGGCAGTAAGCAAAGAGGCCCTTTGCCTCCATTTTAATTTTTTAATGCAAGAATCTACTGACTGTACATGTATATGCTCAAATTAACATTTACATTGTATTTAATTTGTCTAGTGGAGAGGGGGATGCAATTATTCAACGAAAAAAATTAACCATTAGGTAAAAAACACATTGTATGATCTATTACCTTTGAAACGTTTTCCTGGAAAAAATTTTCTGAACAGTCCATCAAGTGAAAGTTTGGTGCGATTTAATAACTTTTCTCCACTCTCTTTCAACTACAAGTAAAGAAATCATAAAAGGATTAACTATCAGTCAGGTGCACCTTCATTAACTTTGATACAGATCTTGACTAATTGTTTCATTTTGCCTGTGCCATAAAATACTCCCATTGTACAGATCTCCTGCTCATGCATGTCTCATCTAAGTATATAGATTTACTGTAGCCTGGGCTAAAAGTGAAACTCTCTTTAATATTTACAGTTTACTCAAGCAAAATATAAAATTGTGTAATGCTAAGTGACGAAAGCAATGGCAAAAAAATATCATTAGGTCTAATTTGCAGAAAAAAACAACTTTGCATGTGGAAGCATTCTTTTTTGTACATTTGCCACTGTTTTGCATGACTACAAAGTGACACTTCCAGTTCCAGAAACTTCCTAGTTACCCATTTTATGGAGGAAATGTCATATGTGTACTGTTTGCTTTTTTTTCACTGCCACTCATTTTCATCTACGTAGCCACTAGCATTTCTCATCTTCTCACCGCCACTATAAAATTTCCATGTTTTTCTTCCCATGAAATTGCTCTCCTTTGTTTTTACATTGTATCTCACTGCTCTAGCTCTTTCTCTGTTATTCACCACAGCGTAGACATTAAAATTTAGTTGAAAGAAAGACCCGGCATTGTTGTTGTTTTTTTTTCTCTCTAAAAGCCCAGGGTGGACATGTGATTTACTGCTGAAATGTGCGGGTGCTTGAAATGTGAAATTTCACCCCAGCTTACATGAAAGGGTGGATGTATGTAGGATTTTCTCAGAAACAAAATTTCTTGGATGTATAGCCAACCAAATTTTCTTTCCCATGGTGCTTCATGCTTTGTGCGAGCTCCGCTAATATATAACAATTTGAGTGATGAACCCATTTCAGATCTCCTGCCCATACGTGTATATTATCTAGTTTATTAATAATTTTGTGTGATCCACAAGTGATGAAACAAAACAAAAATTCAAATCACTTAATACATATTCCACCCAGCAGCCCTTACCCTGGATTAAATTCTGGTATGCAGAGCTGTTATGCCACAGATATGGGACCTGACTTATCTCAAATAAATGTAGCAGTCACATGGTTACCACAAAAACATTCTACGGACAAATGTAAAACTTCCCTGACCAATTGAATAAACAATTGCACATGTTAATCTGATAAAGGACTTAACGCTCCCCTCACAGCCATCCCCTCCACCCATTTATTTATGCTTTCAGCAAGACTGTACAGTGCACGTGAATTGATAGTTCCTTAACATAATGTGCAAAAAGGATTGATTTTCTTGAAAACCTAACAGCAGTGTGTTGTTCGATTTTGTGAACAATACTCTACTAGACATACAACATAATTCATGTCCGTAAAATGTACAAATGTACAGTTGACTCCCCATAACTCAAACCCTTGCTAACTCGAACCATGCTTTTAGCGCATGGCAAGTTGGAAGAAAATTTCACTTTTTTTCTGACTTCTTTCAAAGTATTAAATTTTCCCTGACTTGGAGACTTTAGAGAAATGTTTTCTACCCTGACCATTTCCTAACCCATGGCAACCATGAGAGAATAACCAAACTCTGTGTCAGTAAAAAAGTGAACAAGAGGAGGTAGAGGAGGAAAGGAAACATGTGGCTTGCATTTGGTAGGACATATGTAGCTAGGCAGGCCCAGGATAACACGATTTTCATGTAGATTAGCAGGGGAAGAGAGGTTCATGAATTTCTATTGGAACAGTTGGGAGAAAACCCGTGACATAGCCATCATTTGTGAAAAGTCACCTTAAGGCCATGCTTGCCTAATGAGATGACAATGATGATGATGATAATGATGATGATGACGATGATGATAAGGAATGCTTATTTGAGGGTTAATAAAAAAAAAGGTATACAGATAAATGTTTGCAACAATACATGTAATGTATTACAATATTCCAAGTTTACCAACCTCACTGCAGAATAACAAGCTATCTGCAAAATGAACATTGTGCTGTGAGAGAATGGTGTGATGTATTCCAGATCTCTCCATGTTACTCAACAAAATTAAAAAGTCAAACTGATATCCATGGTGTGCACATAAGACTGCAAGAAAATAATTTTTTATGAATTAAGAAAAAAAATATGTAAATTGGAAGTATTACAATAGACTTCTTTAACTACATATACATACATATGCACCTGAATAAGACAAAATTTAAAAGAAACCTTTCTCTTGGGTTTGATGTTTGTAATATCACAGAAGCATGGGGAGCTACATGTACATTGTAAGGGCTGACATTAAGAGCCGGGGTATTGATAGTCTATGTTGGAAAGCAAATGGAACACAATCTTTTTTAGGTTGTTCCCCTGGAAAATTCAAGGAGTAATGGGATGTTTGCATTAAGTTTGTATTGTTTGCTTGGTCAGGATGTTGCAAACGGATATTCCTTTTGCTCTTGTCAAACGTCATCTTTGAAACTAGTTAAGGAATCCATTTCTTGAAAGTCCTGATACGTGCCCAGAAAGCTGATGTTGTTTACAATCAAGATCCAGGTTTCAAAAGCTTGGCAATTATTGTAATAATAATAATTTATTATTATTTCATAAACTATCAGTTAACAAAACAAAATGGCCTGGTTTGTTAGATAGGACTGACACTGTTATTCTTTAGATTTTGATTTGAATATTTGATTTTTCATGGGCCCAAGAAATTATCACGACTGTTGAGAATGAGCCCCTGGATCTTGTGACCATTTTTTAATCAATGAAACGGATTTAATTTGAGAAGATTTTAAAAGATTAAATGCAATTTCAGGATTAGATGCCCTAACTTTTGTTTACCCTTTGCCCAAACCGAGAACCAACCAGTTTGCCCATATAAATGGTAAACAAGTAACAAGTACACAAAGAACCTCCTAAAGGAAATGAAAAGACTTTGTTGATAATACTACTGTATATCACAGTCCTGTAAACTGGCATCTTACCTGGTACAAATGACTTGCCATGTTTCTTTTTTGCTAGTTTAACCATATCATCAATCCAAAAAAGAAATTCGTTCAGTACATCTTGGAAAAAGGGTTGGTCCTTGAGGTCTTCTTTTGAAATAGCACATTCTTTTGTTGCTGTAACATTTTTAAAAATAACAAAAGACAAGTTCTTTTAATCATTGCATACTGTTGTGAAAACTATACTGTAATAATGTAATAACTAATGTAATAGTAATAACTATACAATAATAACTATTATTAGTAACAGTAATAACTATACAATAATAATTTCATAATGTTGTATCTGAAGAGCACTAAACCACTTGTGTCGTATGAAAATATACAGTAATAAAATACCTATTCACACCTTCACTTGAAAAGACATTGTTCTTCTGGTACATAACTAAATAAAATAACATTAACCCTTTCATTCGAAATAGTGACCAACATCAATTTTCTTCCAACAATATTCATAGATTGTCAAAAGATTAGGTTATGAGAATTAATAAAATAATCACTTAAGAGAAAATGCTTTGATCTTTTATCAAATTTTCTAAACTCATTCTTTTAGGAAATATATCAAGATCAGTTTGGAGAATTTGTATGTGGATATTGGGGCTTAAAGGGTTAAAGAGATTTAGAATCACATTTACAGCAAACAGTGAATGTCAATTTGTACCATGTGACCAACATTTTCCCTTTACTTGCTATTCATTGCTTATTTTATCCCCACAAAAAATAATAATTAGTAGTTTCATGTCAGGCTCATATTTAAAACAATTTTTTGGCAGTATTTACCTGCTATTCTCTTAATGTTTAGAGCAAGAAAAATATAACTTCCTAGCTGCTCAATAATGCTACTAATTTCATATACCAGGCAACTTTAAATATTATTGAAAGCCCTGAATTCCTACTTAGTTTCTTTCAATACAGAGATGTTACTAGCAAAGAACACTTTTATCAATGCATGAAGCTTTTTATAGTATTAATGTATTTATGGCAAGCAGCTTAGCTAGAAATAGGAACTCAACTATGTTAATTACTTGGGACATTTCCAGAAAAACTCTTTCAGCAACCAACCTATGCTTGGAAATACAGTAATTCAGCAACTTTACAATATTGATTTGCAAGCTTAAAAAGAGAATTTGCTGTGTATATTGTTAAGTTAGTAGCTGTTTAGTAGAATATTAAGTAACAACAGTAAAAGATGCTTCCAGAACTTTCTTCAAAGTAACTTTCTATAAAGGAATATAATCCCCAGGAATCAACCTATTATAAAAGCTAAATATATGTGCAGGAATTTTAAATTGCAAATATGTTTTCAGCTTCTTGGTTCAAAATGAAAGCTGCCAGAGGCTTTTTGTCGTTACAAGGCAACTTTCACCAAATTACATTGTACTAGTATAATTCAATTAAAATTTATGATTGGCCGGGCATTTGACAGAAACAAACGACATTAATTTTTAAAAGAAATTTCGTTAATGGCTTTCATTGAAAGGGCATACCTTTAGATATCCTTTATACTCCATTCCACATAATTTGAAACTATAAGCCTAAGTCTTAAACAGTAAACTTTCTCAGGTTTAGTTTTGAGTCACTACATTGATTGCATAACTTTCCTCAGTTTTAATCGATTTTGGAAGTTTTTAGGTTCAAAATTATCAAACGTATTTACCATTCCTTAATAATAATAAAAAAAAACCTGTCAGCGTCCTTCTAAACGATGTGAATTCAGTAACATGAAATTCACTCAGCGTGAACAAAACAGAACGTTTATAATAATTTACATGCCGGAAATGCCAACAAACCGCATGCAAGCGCATAGCGTCGTCAAACGTTCAGAAGAATTTTACGCAGTTTGGACGTTTAATGACGTTCTTTCTGCTGAACGACTCAGAATTCAGGACAAGATGGTATTTAGGACTAGATAAAAAGGAAGGAACAATAATTTGGCTCTTCGTTGCACTTTCTTCGCATGACTTCCGTTTCTGTACCACTGCCACGCTATACACACAATAACGAGGCCGTGTATAACTGATTTTAAGCTTACCGCCAGTACACTTTCGGTTTTTCCGAACATTAGAGCTTTTCCAAGCTTAAATAAACCCTTAGACGCCATAATTGCAGTAAGCAGTAGAAGGACAAAGCTCTTCCTCTTAAGCAATTGCACAGTATTAAAAACAGCCAAAAACTTGCTGACAGCGTAGATTTTCAACACCGCACAGCGATGAATTTTATCACGGGAGTTCACTTACCGAAAGCGCACAAGGGTTGATTTGTGTTAATCAGAGTTTGAAATGAACCTTTCACTACATCAGGGTGGCATCTGGCAGCAATTTCAATGATATCTCCACGGTAGACATTTCCGTAAGCAGCTTCGCTATCGTAAAATATAACCAACGGATGGAGTTTCGCTCCTTCCTTCGTCATTTCGGCCATGTTCCTTTTTCCCGGGCTTTTGTATCTGCCCTCTTCTTCAACACGAGGCAGACAACAACTCGACCCAGTCTGCCAAGTTGTCTATATTCCAAGATGGCGTCTTCGAACCACCTTACTACGACAAAGGTATCTTTCGTGTTTTGTTACGTTTCTTGATAGCTAGAATTTCCACTTACTGGAGATTTTAAGCTGTTTTAAAGGGAAAAACAGCAATCTGTACGATTTTCTCAGAATCAATTAAAGACGAGCCTCTTGACTTGAGGCGTTCTAATTTTACCCGTGCTACATCAAAAAGTGCTTGAGAGGTCAACTTTGTTCCGGGCTTTGTTGTAGCCTGCCTTCGATGCCACATCACTTCCCTCCACATGTACGTACATGTATCAAGGATTGATAGCATTAGCTACTTATAGGGGTGTCTTCTCTATGGTCTGATCTCGCAGGAAAGATTAGAGGAAATTATATCTAGTACCAGTGTTTAGGAAAATTACATGGTGTTTGAAAAGTGGGTAGGGGGCCGGGCGGGGACGGTAGTTCGAAACCTCTTTTCCTGCCCAAGTTATTATTATTTCTTATTAAGAAAAAGATTTAGGGGTCCTAAGCCTTAGCTCTTATTTCATTTATTTTCAACACAACAATGATAAACAGTTTACGAATGTTTTTATTTCTTATTTGGTTATTGTAGATGGAGTTTGCTGCGCAAATGACATGTCAAAAATGTGTGGATGTAATAAGCAATTCCCTTAATGGAAAAGAAGGTATCAGCGAGTCGTATAGTGATACTGTGGTGTGTTTTACATGCTTTAATAATTGACGCTAGCCAAAAGGTCCATGTGCCTGAAACAGATTGTTCAGCTGAAGCAAATATTATTATTCTGTGTATGTTCTTTATAGAGAGGAGAAGTGTTTCCTCACATACCCATGGTAGCAAAATTTCTGGATCACAACAATATTGGAGCTTAAGCAACAACCAATCACGACAGCAACAAGAAAGTTTAGATTGGCAAAACAACAACCACTTTTTTGTCCATTTCTTAACCGTCGTTGCACGACTGCAACATGAAGCTTCTTCATTTAACGCGCCCATTTTTTGTAGTGGGTGAACATAACACAAAAATTTGCTTTTTCTCTTCTTAACTTAGATATGGTCTATTGGATTCAACGACAGAAAATTTTGCCAGTATTTCAAAATTTGAAAAATTAAATGAAATTATTTAAATAAGATGTATGTTTTCGGTTGGTTGTTATCCAGAAATTTTGCTACCATGGCAATGTGACATAACTACTTCCCCCTTGTGTTGAACATTATACATGCAGCACTATTATCACTAGTACGAACAGGCACAAGTCAGGTGACAATTATTGTTAAGAAGAAATAACAAGCATTGTTATTAAAATAATATTGTTACATGACACTTAAAGAATGAAATTTGACATTTTTCTTGAACAAGTTTTAAGTTTTGGTACTTGCACTAACCTTGTAAATTAAATTATGTATCCCATTTCAATTTCTTAACAAGGGATTGAGTCATTTACAGTAAACTTGGACAAGGAGCAAGTCATCGTGGAGACAACATTATCAACGGGGCAAGTCCAAAAACTGATTGAAAACTCAGGAAGAATGGCCATTTTGCGTGGACTTGGAACTGCAGGTACTGGATTGAAGTTAAGGCTTTACAATGTGACTATTACAACTGGGGCCATTAAGACTTAGTTGACCAATCAGATTACAGGAAAATAATAGTACATTATAAGAAAGTTGGTTGTGGGCCAATCAGTAGCTTGTAAAAAAAGAATAAGTTACTGGAAGCACAAAATTTTATCGATAGTGCACATTTTTCAAGAAAGCAAAATGTTTCACTAGACAATGTTTTTCTGTTCGAAACTTTACATGTGTTTGACACAAGAAATTATTTTGTCATCTACCAGCAATTTCTTCGCTATCATTCCCGCGCTTTGGCATAACATCACAACCTCAAGTCAAAAATGTAACTAATGTTTACAATTTTTTCCTGCATCATTCACTAATGGACCTCTTAGGAAACATGAGCTTTTTTCGGCGGGTTCAAAAGGCCATGTCTGTAGGTTACCATTGTTTGATTTTGATCCATTTTGTTTATTTTGATTATGACTGACAACTAACATAATGCATTGTTTTGTCCTGTTATCCGATGTGTCAACTTTGTCTAGATGTCCCTGGCTTTAGTAGTCACACTGTAAAACCTATCAGAAATGTATTTGTTATAAGGCATGTGAAAAACTTATGTGAACAGTGAAATTAAGATTTTTTCATGCTGTCAATCAAACAATATTTCAGTTGATCATTTCTCTTAATTTTCTTTAGGCTCACAAGTGACAAACTTAGGTGCGGCAGTGGCTGAGATGAGAAGTGGGACGGTGATGGGCGTGGCCAGGTTTGTGCAGGTGAGGCATAAAGAAACACGTAAATAATGTTTACTTTGACTTCTTTTTTTGTTTGTTTCCTTGTGGTGTTATGAGCTGTTAATGGAATTATTTCTAAAAAAAATTAATTTTGTGTTCAGTGCTAATTTCGCAAACCCTAAGAGAATTTTGTGACTGTTTGGCTAATACGAGTTTCACTGTTTTTATCCAATCAATGTTTTCAGGTATCTGAAGATTTGTGTATCATAGATGGGACAGTTGATGGTCTTAGTCCTGGCCTTCATGGACTGAACATTCATGAGTTGGGTGACCTATCTGAGGGATGTTCAAGGTTAGAGTACGCTTATGAAATTTCGAAATATTTTCAGATTTTTGCAAGTTGTAAGGTCTCGTAATGACTAGGGGCGGTCTTTTTGCAAACATAGAAACAGGTCCGTGAAGATCAGCTGAAATTGTGAGATTTGCAATACCATGAAACTTTTTGACAGTTAATGTTACCGGTAATCTGTATTTTTGGTAGCTGATGGTTAAAAAATGAACCTTTTTGGACAGCTGACAGTTAAATGTTAGGCCAGTTGACCGCTGACGTTTAACCCCATTGAAACCCTCTTTGTAGGCTACAGTGTACGTATTCAAAAAAGACAAAAAAATTTTTTAACGATATAATAATTAGTTTTCACTCAACAACAACAACAACAACAATTCTTCATTTGTCCTATGTTCTTAACCCTGTCGCACCCAAGTCCTTTTCTTCGAAGATGCTATTTCGACCTAGTGGGATCTTTTTTCGAATAGTTGTTAAATTCGGGACTCGGCCAGGCCTGGCTGGAGGGACGAGGCATGGGAACTGAAATCTTGCACGGATGATGAAAGTCGTGAACGAAGAGTAGGAAAGAAGGACGTGAAACGTTTTAAGCCTCGAAAAAATTGTAGGAACTATTCTGGTAGATTTCGATCCGTAGTAAAATCTACTTGCCGACATGTGGCACAAAATTTTAATTTGGGGAGTTCACTTCAATTTGCGGATTTGCGATTTTTTGTGTTTAGGGGGAACTAATTTTTGCGATCAGGAGGACAGACTGGTTTTTCTTGCTGTTAATAAATTGTTGCAATTTTCAGAATTAAAGTTCAGGAGAAAATTATCATTGACAATACTTTCGTTTTTATTGAGTACATGTAATGGTCATGGATACATATTTTCAAACAATGCAACGATGTGCTTACCCTATACAACCATTAAAACAATAGCTTTTCTTAATTTGTCATTCGATTACCATAACATTTTCAGTCACTGATTGTTCTGATGATCGATCGAAAGTGATCTCATATTATCGTCCATTATCAAATTTAAGTTGGAGTCAGCTTACTCTGGAGTAAATTTTTGCGGGACAAATGTTTGCGGTTATCCTTTAATTTTTTGTTGGGAACTTCTTTAGTTTTTGGGGATCGCTGGAAAAATTGCAAAAATTTCGTGCCACACGGTACAAGATTCTCACTTAACAATGTTTATTATGCAAGAATAATTGATAAAGAACTATCAAACTTTGACCTCTCTTTCCTTGTAAGGCATCTGATCGCTTGGAAAGGCCCCTTAAAAAGCCTTGTATTTTTTTAAGAGTATACCTTTATCAGAAACTGTCTATTGTACTAATGGTCTAAAAAATTGGACGAAAAGTTTAGGCGTGTCTATATCAGATATAAAGAGACTCAGTAAACATTTATTTCTTTTTTTTAAAATTATTCATGAGTTTCTGAAGCTCTTGTAGCGACCATCCTACTGGTTTTACCTAGACTACGAGTAGTCCCCATTTTTCCTCAGGGATAGTAGAGCGAGCGAACTCGAGCGTGCGTGAAAATTTTTCTCTCTCCCCGCGGCGTTTCGCCTTTCTCGCGTGGGGTGATTTTCACGCAGGCTCAAGTTTCGTTCGCTCTACTATCTCTAAGGAAAAATGGGGACTATACGTAGTCCAGCTCTAGTTACGACCACTTTTTCGAATGTACGAGGTGGTCGGTTACGAGAGCTTCGACTGTTTCTAAATTTTACGCTGTAAAATTTTATATATTTAAATTCAACAGTAGGAGAAAGTATTCCCTAACCACAAGAGTTCAACGATGATATCTGTACATAGCAGGGAACCCATCTTCCCCCATCTTTGAATTTTAAAGGCAACCCTGTTAAAAACAAAATTTTCATCAGAATAACTCAGCTTAAATGTATTCTTTATCTCTCTGAGAGTGGGGTTAGTAGGGGTTCAGTGTTTTGTTGCAGCCCATATTCATAATGATAATAGCTGAGATTTCAAGAGGAACTGAGTTAAATGACGGTACGGGAGTTATGTTACCGACAAACTGCGATTTTACTGGCAAAACCGTTGACTGTTTTTGGTGAAACATAAACTCTAAAATTAACTTATCTCCTTTTTCCCCGTGCCTGTTACCCACTCTCGTGCGCACTTTTCATTTCTACTTGCTTTCCAAAAGTATCCCTGCTTATCCCGGTTAATTATCCTTTCGGCAAAAATGTATAAAAAAGTCCGATAACTTTCAAGACGTAGAAGCACACTTGCACCAGAAGGGACGACGCTAAACCTGATTTACTG